GAGGGCCGGAGCGCCAGAGGGTGTGCTGAAAGACAAGGGCTGCAGAGAGCCCGAGTGCCAGAGATGGCGCAGTGTGAGATGGACTAAACAATGTCCAGTCCATCAGTGAGGCTTGGGGCGTGGTACAGGGGTAGTTGGAGCCATGCATAGCCCATAAGGGTTCAGAACCCCATTGTATAAACAAGGATCGGGGTAGTAGGAACCGTGACCAGGAAGACGAGAGGCAACCTCCCTTTTACTTTCAGAAGATCAAGATGTGGCAGGACAGAATGAGGGTGTGTTAACGCAAACTTAGCATGGTAGGGGGCGCTAGGGGAGAGCTCAGCAACCCTAGGACATTCCTCCCCCCCAGTACAAAAAGCAACACAAGATCTACCATGTGCTGCCACCACCTCTCTCTTCCACCTAGCAGGTAAGTCTGTGGGGAGGGGCAGATTGAGACAGAGGGAGAAAACATTATTTGGTGGTGCACCTCCCCAGCAGGTAAGTCCCACCCAGCTGGGTCCCACTCAACTGACTCCCGCTCCTGCCTCTACGGCACTGTCCCTCACCATGGGGTACTTGATCTAGCCCCTGCCCCTTCCCTCCCCCATGGATTAACCTGCTGGGCTGGGGCATGCGTGCTGGCACTCGGGCCCCTACCACAGCCTCGGATGTACCGCAAGAGGCTCCGAGGTCTACTGGTTGGTGACCACTGGCCTAGGACTTGGTCCTGCTTGATCTGAACTGCTCTGCCTCTCAAAGTGGGGGATACTGTATCCTGCAGCTAAGGATTAACAGAGCAGCCACAGATTTTTGCCTTTCCTGCCCTCATTCCCCCCTAAAAAACAAACAAAACCACCAAGAAACACCACCTGCAACTGCCTATGTTTTCCCCAAGAAACACCCCCCCCCCCCCCCCACACAAAAGAAACCCTTTCTCCTAATTGTTCCCACTTTTTCTGTAGGCTATCCACAATGAAAGTTAAACTAGTGTACATCTCTAACATTTACTTGCCTTTTACACTAGAGCCAGATTAGTACAGGTTGTGGGGGGTTTTGCCTTCTGGAGATAGGGACATGGCCCTTTTCTGTGGATCTCTCAAAATCATAAAAAAATTAGAGCTAGAAGGGACCTCAGGAAATAGTTTAGCCCAATCCCCTGCTCAAAGCAGGACCATCCCCAACTAGATCATTCCAGCAAAAGCTTTGTTGAACCAGGCCTTAAAAACCTCCAAGAACAGAGATTCTACCACCTGCCTAAGCAACCTGTTCTAGTGCTTCACCATCCTCCTAGTGAGAGAAATTCTCTCATATCCAACCTAAGCCTCCCTTGCTGCAACTTCAGACCATTGCTCCTTGTTCCATCATCTGCCACCACTGAGAACAGTCCAGCTCCATCCTCTTTGGAACCCCCCTTCAGGTAATTTAAATGCTACCTGCATTTTAAGTCTGTCAGCAGCAGGATACTGACAGCCCTCATCCTAATGTGTTACTTATGGAAGGTTAGGGTGCTTTTGACATCCTTGGGCATCAGGGATAATCCTGCTTCAAGCAGGGGGTTGGACTAGACCTCTGGAGGCCTGTTCTAGCCATCTGTTCTATGAGCCTATGAGTAACAATTGAATATTCACATGGGTACTGAAGTTGTGCAAATGAGCTGATACACATAGACATCAGTAGGGGTGCATCAACACGTTTTTTGGGGCTGAAACCGTTACTCTATATTTAAGGAGGCATATCGCTCGATACCAATCCGATTTCCAATACAGCTGCCTCCAGCTGTTAAGTCCAATGCTGTGAAAGGGGAGGGAAGGAGAGAGAAGGGGTGTCAGGGGCAGATCAATGCTCCCCACAGTGAGGGAAGGGGAAGGGGCAGGTGCTGCCCAGGCAGAGGGAGGGGGGTGGGCAGAGCCACAGTTTGTTGGCAGCAGGGGGAAAGGACAACGACAACAGTTGTTCCCACCATTGCTTGCATCCCGGGAGGGCACAGAGCCTGTGCGGGGTGGGGCAGGCTGCAGCCAAGCCTGCACGGGGCTCTTCTTAGTGGGGGCTGGGCTCAGAGTGGGTGCCAGCAGCACAGGGAGGATTCTGCATCCACCCCAAATTTTTACCGCCATTCCACTCCCAGCACCACTGCTGCCACCAGCCATCCAGTCCAGCCCTGACTCAGTACCCTGCCTCCACCTATGTGCCAGGAAGAGCCAGGGCTGCACTTGGAGCAGTGGCAGCAAAATTTGGGGTGTAGCATCCCCCCCCCAGTACTGCCAGCACCTGCTCCAAGCCCAGCCCCCACTGAGAAGAGCCACACACATCCCTGTCTGCAGTCGACCTGGCCTTGCAGAGATCCAGGGGGCACATGCCCCGCCTGTGCCCTGCCAGAATGCAAGCAGCAGTAGGAGCCACCCACCCACCCCCTTCCCCTCACCTGGGCAGTGCCTGCCCCTGCCCCCTCCCTCATCCTAAGTGGCATTGATCTGCTGCCCCCCACCCAGCTTCCTACCACGCCAGGCTTGCCGCCTGGAGGCATCTCTCCACACTGGTGGCTCTGCTTTTCGCTGCCCAAGTGCTGCACTGTGGCTGCACACAGTACACTCATTTATCAGCCCCATCAGGCTGATCCAGTTTTCTTTATATCTGTACCAATCTGATATCAGATCGATGCATCAGTGCACCTCTAGACATCAGTCTACCTTGTATTAATACACTTTTAAAATTTAAGAAGTATATCAGCTTTTAAAGCCTTCTACAAATAAATCCTACTTGTAATATATAGGGTCTGGTACTGATGAAAGTTATGCTTGTTTTACATCAATATTACTTCAAGGAGTTACTCCTAAGTAACACAGAATTGAGAGTATTTCAGTTGACAGTCTAAAGCTTTCAACAATTCATCTGGTATATATTGGGAGTGTCTACACAAGACATTTACTGAGGAGTAGTAAACTAATTAGCTCCATAGTGAATGTCTTGCATCTACATGTACAGCCCTATTAGGCCACAGGAAACTAACTCTGCAGCAGGATAGCACTTCTAAATACAAGCACTATCCTGCTGCAGAGTTTTTTTTCCCCATGTGCAGCAGAGCATATGTAGACACTGAGTCAGCTGGCAGGGACTCAAGGGTGCTTCAGCACAAGGGCTGCCTGCCAGCTAGCCCCACACTGGATCACCCTCATGGCCCAGCCAGCCCCTCCACAGCACACTGAGCCAGGTCAAAGCAGCCCTGGGCTAGAAGGCTGACCCCACTGGGGCCCTTGCTAGCCAGGGCTGCTCTGACCTGGTTCAGTGTACTGTGGGCCCAGGCACGTGTTCCAACAGCAGGGCCGGAAGCAATAAACTGCGGTGCGCCCACTCAGGGCTTGGGAGGGAGGCAGTGGTGGTGGTAGGGGGTGGAAACTAGAGTATTTATTAACTCAGAACAAAAGCTAGAGTTCTGGCCCTGAAATCAGTGTTAAGTCTCTCACTGGTTTTCTTAAATAAATCTTTTTAAAAGTAGCGTTCCTGGCCGACTCACTATTGCACAGCTGTATTAAGGAACTGCCAAGTCAAAGGGGTGAAATTAAAGACACAGCAATAATTTAGGCATGCTACCTAAATACACTATCAAGCCTGCAGAGCTCAGAGGGGAGAAAAAGTTCAGCAGTAAGACTTGAATCATACAATAAGTTCTTAGCAGTCAGGCTCCAGCTCCTCTGGAGCTGAAGAAGATGCAGCTCAGTGGCATTTTGCACCTGTGTGCATCTGGGGCCAGGGCCAGGTGCAAAACTGGATAGACAGCAGAGGGCTGGGGTTGGGGCTGCAATCTGTTCCCCACATACTTCTGCCCAGGGAACACATCTGTCACAGGGGCATGCAGGCAGCAGATCAGGGCTCTGCCCCTGCCCTGGCCCCATGCTGTCATTGCCCCAAGATCTCAGGGTCTCACTGGCCCCACCTCATATCTCACTACTGGACACTGGTCCACACCTACCTGCAGCCCCTTCCCATCCATCTGGGCGCTCGCTGTGCCCCCATGGGTCCAGCCCCTGGTGGTGGGTGCAGGGCAGATGGGCCAGGGTGCTCGCCTCCCCCCGAGAGGACCAAGGCAGTTAATAGCCAACGCTCTCAGGCCTATGAAACTTCATTTATTTACATGACAGGAAAAAGGCGGGAAAGGCGATTACAAGTTACATACTTGCATACCTGCATTGTCTTTAAAATGAAAGCAAACCCAACTGAAACCAAATTAAAAATCCTGTGTTTCAACAGAGATACCAAACAGCTCATCACCTTTTTTTAGATTTAAATTGGTTTTGGGGGGTTTCTGGAGCAGAGAGGCCAGACACCAGCAGACATTGACCATCACTCTTTCGGGAGAGCCACCGGGGAGAGGGAGCAGCTCACAGGACCTGGTGGAGCAAGGCAGCCTGGGGGAATTCAGCTCTTTGCAGCTTCCCTGCCCCAAAGCCCAGCAGCAAGAGCGAGACCCAGGCCTGCTGCTGGCGCCTCAGCCCGCCCAGGAGGCAGGGAAAGGGGCTGCGGCCGAGGAGGGATGTGGGGCAGCCGACAACAAGGCTGCCTCCTGCCCCAGCCTCCCCCGCCCCGACCAGCTAACACACCTCCCTCCAACATGGCTGCCCGCCGCCCGCACGGGGCACAGCCTACCCCGCTGGCGCGGCCCGCCCCGCCCCCCGTGCAGCTCCATTGGGCAACCACTGCCCCGCGCCCGCCCGGATTGGCCCGCGCACCCGCCACTCACGCGCCCAGCTGCTCTGTCAAGCTCGGCTGAGGCGACATGTAAACAAATCCCGCGCTCGGGCTCCTAGGTTGGGCAGCGCCGCTTCCCCCGCGGGGCCAGGCGGCGGGGGGAAAGGCGGTTCCGCTGGGGCTGCCATCTGGGCTGCGACGGCCTCCGTGGCCGCCAGGGCAAAGCAAGGGGCCGCGTCACGCCCCCTTCCCGGGCTGCGCGCTGGGTGCCTCTCGGGTGGATGTAGCCCGCCGCGCCCCGGGCGCCTGCGG